CATACTGAGAAATTAAATTCAATTTTATAATTCGGAAAGTCTCGGTAATATTCGATTATAATTGTGTGAATAATTTCCTTTTGAATTACGGCCCTGAAAGTTGTGGTTGACTGAGTTGAATAAAAACATAATAGCAATTTTCACGTCTCCCTATGTATCGTAGAGTTTTTTTCATTTTTAGGTACCTATTCATATTTTTTCCATTGCTCTGAGCGTTTTCTACAGTGAACTTCGAATAAGCAAACCTTTTATGATTATTTGAAACATATCTACATCAAAAATATATTATATGTGTTTTAATAAGCAGAAAAAGAAATGATAGCAATAATAATATAGAAACGAACACTATAATTGTCATAAGTAATTATATAGGTGCCAAAAAAAATTATTGGCGCAATAAATGTTCGAATTGTAATCCTTCCATTTCGAGACATTTTAAACTCGGTTTTTATATTATTTATTGCCCTTACACTTATTGTCTGCATTGTTGCGAAATCATTCAAAATCCTCAATCTCGAGTCTTCCACATTTTCTATGTCTCTGCCACCGTAAATCCTATTTTTAAATGTCACCCATAGAAAATAGTCCAACATAGTAAGATCTGGTGATCTTGCAGACCATCTTATTGCCCCATTATTTGTCTCGAAATGGAAGACTCCAATTCGAACATTTATTGCACAATTAATTTTTTTGTGTATATAAATTACTTACTTCATTTCAATTTCATTATAATTATAGTAGTCATTTCGAATGTTATTATTGCTACCATTTTTTTCTGCTCATCAAAACACATATAATATATTTTTGTTGTAGATATGTTTCAGATAATCATAAAAGGTTTTCTTATTCGAAGTTCATTGTAGAAAACGCTCAGAGCAATGGAAAAAATATGAATAGGTACCTAAAAATGAAAAAAAAAAAACTCTCGAAAAACACAGTCAACCAATTTCCAAGGCCGTAATTCAAAAGGGAATAATTCACACAATTATAATCGAATATTACCGAAAAATCCTAAGATATAAAATTGAATTCAATTTCTCAGTATGAAGTAAACACCTGCGATCCAAAAACTACAACAAAAAATACAGGTCTGTATTTGAAAATTCAAAGATGGTAGTAGCCCAAGTCAGATGACATCCTGTATAAAAGATTCATGGATATATTCTGAGAGCCCACATCAAGTGCCAATAGCGAAATGTGAACAAATTTTCAATATTTCTGCGAATAAAGAAGATATGGGCAAAAAAATTATTTGGAGTTTTTTAGTTTTTCCTGTATATCTCCAGAATCAAAAGAGATATATTTGATTTTTTTACATCATTGAATAGGTCTCTAAAATACGCAACTTTGCCATAATTTAACCGACACTCTATCTCTTATCGTTTACGAGATCCCCATGTACAGAAACGAATTTGAATAGCCCTGTATATGTATTTGCCTTTAAATTGTAATATTTATATATTAGGTGCCGTGTTTTATGCTTTTATATTTATATTTCATCAAGTATATTCATCAAGTAGTGAGCAGAGATTTTGGTAAATCTTTTAAATAAACGAGAAGAACGTTTTCGGAATACAAATTTTTGTTTTTCTTCTTTCTCAAAGTCATGAAATATTCGAAATTATATTCGTATTTTTCTATTGATTTTACTGGCAGCAAATTATTCATCGCAATATTTACTAGCTCGTTAATATCTGGTGGGGTAGCACAAATTTCTCAATCTTTATTTGAATTTTTACGATATACTGAATGACAGCTTATGATTGAAACACGGATTGATTGATGATTGATTCACGGATAGAACTAGATTCATTACCAACCCACAAACTGTTAAACAATAAAATTACTGAAAATATTATATTTATTTCGATTTTACGGAGAATTTGGAGAGAAAATTCGTTGATTTTGGCTTTTGAACAATTGAATGTATTTATGAGATAGAATTTCTCAGAGTAAATATCACATATCTCATCATTTTTTGAAATTTCTAACGGAAGTGGCCGCCATTCATTTAGAATACACGTGTATTCTCTCTCTATCACTCTCTGTTCCTCTAGGTTTATTGGACGTTGCTTCTTCTCGGAGCATTTGTCCATCCTACTCCTATTAGAATTGACATGGGGCGCAGCAGTCTTGCTCAAAACATTGCTGCCACCCCTTTTTTATCAGAACTTTTCATTATAAGAACACTTGATATTTTTTGTTGAGTCGCTTCCTGCTCGGGACTTATTGACTTTTTACACATATGATTAATACAATCCAGTCCCCACGTGGACATCCGGTCCACCCCAGCCTTCAACCGGACATGTGTATTCTAAATTAGCCATTACCTACCTGCTGTCAAATACGTAATGATTAGTTTAAAATGGAGGGAGTAGAAAAATATAATTTTCACCTGTTTATCAAATTGGTGAAGGGCAATCTTACTTGGGATCCTCTACTACATCTACAACAATATGAACATGACGAGTTTTCACATGAAGACGTCATCTTTAAGGTCGAGAGAAATTTTAAACCACAGATACCAAAGATAGATGAAAATCTCAACAGCCTTGCTTCTAAATTGGACAACAAATAAGATTTGCATTCTATTTTTCAGCAGTTTTCACCGAAAGCATTAAAGTACATATCAGCCCCCAAAAGTGATACATCCAGAAAGCGCTGTTTCATTTTGCCAAATCTCATGAATAGGTAGTATTTGCCGAGTCGTAGATGCGACTTTTGAACGCTTCTATAGTTACGCTCACAAATGCAACACTTCTGAGGTCTGATGTAATCCAGTATCCTAATTGTAGTGAAAGCTGTAGAGAAACAGAAAACGAATTCTCATTCGGGGATCGATGCTGGCTTCAACGCTTTTTGCGCTATTATCTCGATTACACTTATTGTCATTAGTCAGTCAACGCTTCGGATGAGATTTACAGAGTTTTAATTAAACATAAAGCAAAAAATTAAGGAATTATTCTGAGGATTCTTTGTCTATTGATGATTTTTAATAGTGCATTTTGTTTAGAAGATACCGACCGAAAGAGAATTTTGACAATACCAATTTTGATAATTTTAAAATAATTAACGTAGCCGAAATAAAAGTATAGCGTACTACACTGGACCTACCAAGTAATTGAAAAATCTAACAATTCCGTTGATATCTATCAATAGCATTCCGATTACCACAAACGTCTGCAGACATTCAATTTGAATAGTATGTCTCGTAAATGATCATTTGTATCGAATGGTCCAAAGAAAAGTATGCACCTTGCTTTTCTCTTTTTTTTTGTAACTTAACGCAAAAATGCTCGGACAGGTCAATTTTGCTTATGAGGGGGAAACATTTTAGATGTATTTTTCTACCTGTGCCTTCAACCCCCTAGCGAGGGTGAGTAACAACCCTAAAATTTCAAATGGAAAGTGGGGTCGAGTGATATATCATTTGAAAGGGNGGCATGTGATATCGGAAGTCGAGACAAAGATGTGGAAGCTTGATAACATAATAGAGGCACAAATCGAGCCACTGATAATTCAGATTGGTGAGGATGACACTACTGATGAAGAGACAAATTCATCCAGTTGAATAATTTCAATTAATATTCCTTTTGATTTTACATAAAATAAAAATTATCCATAAAGAAATAATTAAGTCTCCTTCCATATGTGCGCTGTGAAAAATCCAATGAAAATCTTTTTATATTACACATATTATCTGCATTTTTCCCGTTGAACTGCAAAACTTGTTATTATAAAAAAGTTTTCCTAAGTATGATATAGCATTTGCGATCAACAAGATGTTGGTTCTGAATACGACCCTGGCCAATTCTTGGGATTTTCAATATCACGTGCGTAGGGCATGTCAAAGTTTACATCCACTCTATCTTGGATTTGAATTTGCTTTAGGAACAACTCATCAAACTCGAGAATAATGAATGCGAGTTCAAGAAAAAACCTCATTCTACCTACCTGTCAAGATATATCCCCTAATTACCAATTTTTCTTTCACAAACTGAATTCAATTAGGGAAATTCAAATCTATTTGATCGTATAGCAATAATCCCGAGTTTTTGAACCTATCGATTTCTAAGCATTTCAAAAGGTTGAGTTAAGAACCCTTCTCTTCCAAAACGTAATCAAACTCGTACCCCTGTGTCAAAAAATTATTTGCAAATGTTGATTTGATATTCTCATTCAGAAATTGTGTCTATTTTCTCTTATTCTTCTGGATGAAGTTCTTCCGGTTTGTCCAATATAAAATTCAGGGCAAAAACCACAAGTCAACTCATATACTCCCGATTTATTCGACACTAGAGTTTGATCTTTATAGTTTTCAATTACTTGTTTTGTAGGCTACTTCCAATTCTTTGTTTGAAAAAATAACGAGCAATATTATTAGTAGGATCACCTAAGTAAGTTAAAGTCACATAATGTTACATATATTGTGAACATATAATTTTTGAATACATTATAGTGGCTTCATCTTGATTTTTTGGGTTTATAACTTCCCACAATTTGAGAAAAATAAAATGTAAATCAATAGCGACTAGTGTCTGAAGAAATTAGAAATATCTCAGTTTGAGGCGAGATTTTCCTAGTAAATACATGTTTTGGAAACGAAAAAAGGATTGTTATTCGAAACGTTTACCACTTAAAAAAGCTAAGTATCAATATTAATTTTTTTCATTCGATTTTTATTTCCGATTTGTAGGCAAAATTTATGATAACGACAATTCACTGACTGATTAGACTTTTCCGTTTGTCCTTTCACCACACTTCAGCAGCTTCTCTATTAATTCATTTTTTCAGATTGTGAAAGGTTAAAAACCCAAAGAATCAGTATAAAATATTGAGTCCTCCACAAAAATGTCGTTTAAAGAATGTTATAGTGGCTTCCCATCAAGTATAGGTCAGTTCCATAGTATTTTGGAGAGTTACTATTATCCGAAAGTATTTCATTAAATACACAATGTTCTTGAGGACTGAAAGATAAAATGAAGGTTCAAACTTGAAAATCCTAGGAAAAATATAACCACGTGAGGGGCGCATTTATTGAAAGCATTCACAAAGTAAAGTATATGATAGTAAAGAAAGGAGAAAGTGAATCCAACAATCTGTCAATTTTGAATCAGAAACAATGAAAGCAAAAATCCCAACACGTCAACTTGTTCATTTTCCTGCTCTTCCTTGTCCAATCACAACTGTGGGTCTGTATCCATCCTCAGTTGCTACAAATTTGACACTGAATGGCGTACCATCGGGAAAAGTGAAGGAAAAGTCCCCATCGACATTTAGGGTTTGGTCGTTATCCTTGCCAGTTCCTGGTTTCAGGACCCCTGCTTCCGTTCGTTTGATGCCGTTGCTCGTTTCGAAACTGTAAAATGAATAAATCCGTAAATATTTGATAGCCTGGGAACTTTCTCTCATCTTATCTTTCAACAAACAGAAAAACAATCAAGAATGAAACTATTATTTGCTGTATTAACAATATATAAACTTATACACTGTATCCAAGATAAGAATGAACAACATGGGGATATCGAAAACGGTAAGTGATACAGGATCGATTGAATTAGAGACATGTAGCGCATTTATGTGTCTAATGATATGCCTTTTAGAAAGTTTTAATATTCAGAGTAGTTTTGAAGATATCTGAGAAAAATCAAAATTTCCCCTAGCTTCATTCTCGAAGGAAATGTAAAACAAATAGCACCTTGTCATGACCACTTTTTGAGGATTACACGATAACATAAGCGACGTTTCGTCTTTAAGTGGAGATTGAACTAAACATACTTAACATGTTATCCTTATCTACACCATAGATACCTCTTCTAGGTACTTGCGTCTTTGTCTTGAATTGATTTCACAATATTAATTTTACAATGTATCCTTATGTGATAGTCCGGTAAATCTAATAATTGAAATATTATTTTAACAAACTTTAATAAGGGTTGGAAACTTATAAGTTCTATTTCAGTCGAGGGGTAAGTATGTTGTCGCATTTCTTGAGGACGTCTTTTTCTTCGGCAATTATCATTGGTAACGGGTTCCTGGACAATTTAGCATACGGTCCGTTAGTAATGAGTATTGACCCTTTCGTAGTAGTCCGATTTATCCAGAATAACTACTTTGTTACCTTCAGCTTTCAAATAAAAAAACGTCTTTGTATTTCAATCGCGTGTAGAGTTTTTTTGGTTTTTACCGTCGTTTATTAAATGTTTCCGGACAACCGGGAGCCGGTCGCTTTGTTCATTCAGTCAAATCGACCGCCGTGTAAGTCGCTGATTCGTCAAACGATCGATTTTCACTTGCTATAGTCCAACCCCTGTTAGGAATCACACGTTAAAAGGTAAGACATCGTTAGTACTTAGCTCGCACAAGTTTTGACATCTGAGGGTTGTTGTTCGTAGGAGTGCGCTAGCTGGTTAACGGAAAAACAGATTCAAAACAGATTTCAAAAACATATTTAAACAGGCCTGTTATCAGGTTCCTGGAGATTTTATTCCTGACTTTCTCCCGAACTAGTTCCTTCGAGAAATCAGGCGTATATTGAATCGAACTTTCAGTACTAGCAAGGATATTCTCAAGGACTTTCTTGGAAGACGGGGCGCCAAATTTCAAACCGTTGTTCAAGAGGTTGATCTCTTCCTTATCGACTTTCGGAGTCATAAAACGACGAAAACCAAGATAAATATATCTCAGTTCCATACCACCAATATTTAAAATAATATTTTTATTATTAGGTTTACCTAATAAAGACACATTGTAAAATTAATTTGAGACTAGTAGATAAGACAATATTGTGAGATCAATTTAAGACACTTAAGACACAGGTTATGCAGATTGGTGCTGAAGAGGCAATAAGGCCGAAACATCGGATGTCCACCAGTGAGGATGACGATGTTCCATGTATGTGAAATTCCACCTCTTTCGTTTCCTGCATTGTGTAGTAATCCTCTGATTGATATCTGAATCAATTCCATGGAATACAAACTGAATAGAGGGAAGTGCTTTTCGTATAATTCAGCGTTCACATAAAAGTATTCATTTGGAAAGTATTTTTCTTTTGTGTAATTCAATGCTGTTATCGAGAGAGCTTTTTTCAGTTTGTTTCTGAAAGGTACTTCTTCGCAAGATCTATCTTCGTGATTCTTTCTGTGGAAGATTTCTGATTTTGAATAATAGTAAAATTCATACATTTAGAAAAAAAATACTCAATCACCCTCTTTACGGAATTTTCTTCCTTGATTCAAAAATATATCGAAGTAATTTCCATCATTTCATTCCATTTATGTTCTTTCTGTATTCATATAATCCTTTTTTTTTCATTCTTCCTCACGACAAAATGTAGGAAATGATATGTAATTACCCACGTATATATTACAGTTGTCCTGAAGAAGGCAATAAACATTGCCGAAAGCTCAACATATACCGAAGAGTTAGCTAATTAGCCCCCTGTTATAAACTGAAACCTCAAGAAAGAAAAGAATACGTAAACAACAGTAACGAATTTTCTATCAATATCCTTTCTACATACTACTTTCCTCATATTTCTCATGAGATTATGCATCAATTAACAGAACCACTGAGAACTATCAAGAAGCTATAGTTTTTGCAAATAGATCAGTCCCCAGAGCAGGGTGCTATCCATTCGTCAATGAATTATTTCAAATACATTATAGAAACGGGATCACATTTGAAACGATAAAATCAAATAACAGATCTTCTAATATCTTTCAGCTACTTTCTGAAATGAGTCAGTCGTTCCAAATGAAAACTTTACTGTTATCAAGGAAGACCCAACGAAAAACACTCGAGATGAACCGAAAAAGTTTCTCTCAGATACTAAAATCATTTTTACGGAATCAGAGAAACGAAGAATCACCAACATGACCTCCTCCCGCCCTAAACTATATAGCCTGATGAAGACACATAAAGAGGATAACCCCATAAAACCGGTAGTTTCGTATACAAATAGTCCGGTAAGAGAACTAGGAATACATCTTGACAAGTTGTTCAAAAATATTACCAATTTCGTTCCACATAACATCATTAAAAATTCATTGACATTAATGGAAAACATAAGTAACCAAACCACGCCACATAATTCAATTTCAGTTTCATTCGATGTAAAGAGTATTTTCATCAACATACCCTACAACGAACGTAAGCCCTTCATTTCAGATATTTTAGATCGAGCCAAAGCCAACAGCTTTCGAAGTGTGCCTAATTCAGAGTTACCTACAGTTCAACAACAAATTCTACAAACAGGATTCAGGTTTACCAATGGGCCCACATCTTAGTCCACTTTCAGCAGACATATTTATGAACAGCTTGGAGACAAGTAAATTCCGACCTGAGTAAAAAACATATTTATTTTTAGTACAGATATGTAGACAATATTCTTGCCTCTTTCAAAGGAACTACACAACAGCTGAACCAATTCATGATATTCATATTGAAACATTCAGTTCACACTTGAACAGAGACAGAGAAACAGATAAATTTCTTAGACCTGATCATTACACATAATCAGGATAAATTTGAGGTCAACGTATTCAGAAAACCTAGCTTTACAGACATAGTCAAGAAAAAGAGCCGAAAATTCACTTACAGATTAATATACCCCCAGATCAAACAGTCAGAAATCAATAAATGGGTAACATATTTTGGTAAAAGAACAGAGATAATTGCGGGTTTCTTGAGAAAAAACAATGTGGACCACATGCCAGGTTATCTGATTTCCTTTTCAATGCCAAAGATAGAGTGGACAAATTGGAGAAATCCGGAGTTTATAAGCTTAAGTGCCCGGAGTGTAATAGTGTTTATGTGGAACAATATGGGAAATTTCTCAAAACGGTATGCTGAATATGAAAGGTCCTTCAGACCAGGTAAAAATGATTTGACGTTTTCTAACCATTCTTTGGGATGCAACCACAAGTTCCCGAATCTAAACGATACGGAAATTTTGCACCATGCGGGCAAGGGTTGGAAACTCACTTTTTTGGAATCCTTGAAAATTCATGAGCATAAACATTGCAGGTGCAACCTGTTAAATGATCAAATCGATCTAGCTCACTCATCGGTTTTCAACTTAGCGAATCCACATTGTCGCAAGTAAAAAAAAATTAGGTAGTCGATTAAGCTAAGTACCTTTATTATCACCTACAGTGGTATTATATAAGGGCTAATGTAATCAATCATTTTTAGTTTAATGTATAAGTTTGTAAATGTCCTTATAGGATGAAACTGCTGTAACTTTAGTTGAAAATAAAAATGGTAAATAACATAGTAAATTTCATTTCTCATTTTTCATATTGTGGCATCATCTGCGAAAAACGTGAACTTTCCCTTTTGATGATGTCAAATCATTTATAAACAAAAGAAAGATAATGGGACCAAGAATAGACCCCTGAGAGACTCCACTGTTTATATTAGCTGCAGTTGATAATGAAGTAGTCATTTTAACTATTTTCAAAGTTTCAATTCTCATTTTTCACTTTCTGGATCAATAACTTACTCAAAATTATATCCATCGAGCCTCAAATCGTTATCAAATTTAACAATTTGTGCCGAAGCATCTGGATCGGCGGGTTTTGAATTCACGAGTGAACAAAACAACACACTGAAGATGAAGAAGCTCTTTGCGACAAACATTTTCTTCAGAACACCAACGCAAAGTAAGAGGTCTCAGCAGATGCAATTCTTTAAAATAGCTGAAATATGAGTAATTGTCCGTTTACGCAATGACTGGAATTAAAATACCAATGAGCACATTGCAGCGCATCTTCATTTTGTTATTGCATTCGCAAGGTGTTTTGTAGGATATTGTATTTTTTCAATCGTCATGATGGGCAATTATGAAAATGTTACTAGCGTTTTCGAAAAGGTCACAAATAATGTGACTCAACCAGGAAGTGAAGGTGAATAACGAATGTAATGTTGAAATTTAACTGAATGCGCTTTTGTAATTAAGAATATTCTTTTCGACTCCCACAGATTATCGCTTCACTTACTGGATGGACATCGACAAATGTCGCTTTTTCGAAACAAATTTCAATGGGGCATGGTAAATAATGTTGAGTTGTTTCAAAATTTTTGCCCTTATGTCATATGTTTTTGTAGCCTTATATCTCAATAAATATTTATTCCACTGTGTCGTGGTATATACATATTGATAGAAAATTTTGTACCCTATACATTTTGTCCAAAATTAATTTTTTTTTCAGCTTACGAGGATGGTATGGAAAGTTTCCGACCTCAACACTCATAAATGAGAGCTACTGAATTGTGTTGTTCATTTGTTGAAAATTTCAGCCATTTTGAACTCGTATATGTTATGTTACACTCATTTGAGTGCTTGTGATGCACAGTTTGGATCCTGTGGTATATTAATGATTTTTTTTAACTATATTTATTTTGTACCATAGATGCCTGTTGTTAACTTGTCTAACTAATCTTGTGAACTGAAGTTTATGGAATGGTTTCGTTGCAAAATATGATGGGCGACTGCTGATTTTTATGCTCTTCCATATTTAAGGTGTGCTAATTGTTCCTTTCTTTCAGTCTGTCCATAATATTTTGCATCACAGTCCTCACTATTAATTTCGTGAATTCAAAACTTTTTCGAATTCTCAACTTTGTCTTTTGCATTTCCTAAAAGGCTCTGTAGTGTATGACCACCTTCATACCTAGTTCCTTGAAAATCTTTCCAAAGTTCTTCGTGTATTGGTGGTATGAAACTGAGATAAATTTATCTTGGTTCTCGTCGTTTCTAAAAGTCGAGGTTTCCTTCATTCTTAACCTAAATTTCTTCTTCCTAATAATATCATCTACAATACCTCGACAAGTAGATAAGGGAACATTGTAGAATTTTCTTAAGACAATGGGGAATGTTCCTCAATTTGGGTTATTACAGCAAATGCAAGTTTGAACAAAGTAAAGTTGAGTTTAATTCATGAGTTTTTCAAATTCACTTCGAAAAGTATTCAAATTGATGTTTCAAATGTTGGATTTTAATTTTTAAAGGGATTTGTTTCTGATTCACATATTGGCAACAGCGCCTATAACAAATTGAAATAATTTATACGTACCTAGATATTCTACTTTAAAAAAGGAATATTATCGTTATAAATCAACAATTAAGGCAAAATATAAATTATAGTTCAATACCACCTCCACAAGCCACATAAACGACAGTTGTTTTGTTATTCATTCACATAGAGGTTAGGTGCACAAAATGTCATATGTCACAGAATGTCTCGGAACTCGGAACAATAGTAAACAGAACAGCACGCTTCTGAAATATGTCATCTTTGTTTGTAACAGATTCATTGTCCTTTATTAGGTATAACTGATGTTGCCAAATGGTGAAATAGAAACGAATCCCTTTAATTGTTGAATGTATTATTTTATTCCTCTTTTTAAGGTATTTAAATAAAAATGTCAGGTCAGACAATTCCGCGCTATCTGCTTTGATAAGTTTGTTGGGGGCTGAAATGGACTCCAATATGTCTTGGCACAATCATGTCGATGGAACTGAAACGGCTACTTCTAAAAAGCTTGGAACACTGTTCCGAACCAGAAAACTGTACACACCTCATTAAAATAGACGAAAGGTTTGAAACAACCTAATAGCAAAATTTCCTCATAACGTCATTTCAATGTAGCAAGAATCAATGAAGTGATACTCTGATGCAATATTTTGAAATGAAACTATGAATGTTCCATGCTCTTAAAAATATTTTATTGGAATTATTTTGTACATTTGAAACTGGTAATTTCTAATTAGACAACAATTCAATTTATTTAAAGTGAAAAAAGCGGTGGCAACACGTTAATTAGTAGCAATGCGTTTCCAATACCTTCCAATTTATGTTCATGAACCTCAAAGCATATACAGTAATTTACCTCTTGATATAAAACTATTTAGTAAATTTGAAGGTATAAACGATCTAGTATTATGTGACATTGAAAATCCTTCTTGAGACAAAGCGTACTTTACAAACAAACGATAATAGTTTTATTGTCGTTCAATAAATAACGTACTCTTACTCCCAGGTATTTTTATTTTTCCCATAAGAGGTCTATGGTTCTCATGGAAGGTCAATCAATCACAATTTTTTCTTCCATTTGATTGAAGTATACCTTTTCCCTATATGATGTTGATATAAAACTCATTGAAGGAATTATTTAACATTTTTGAAATATTTTATTCAGCAAGACTGCAAAATTGAACCAGTTTTTAATAAGAATGAATGAATATACGATTTCATTAGAATATTTTTTCAAATTTCAGATATCGTTTTCAATCCATCACAAACATTCCATTTTAGTATCTGTCTTGATATCTTTCTGGCTGATACCTAGGATCCGGATTACTTCTTATCCAGTCCAGAGCCCTTTGAATGGCTACAGGAATTGGTGGAGGAGTTGGTAGATGAGCACCAGTAGGCTGAAATCCATTTTCGTCAGCAACGTACGTTAAAGAAATTGGAGTATTATCTGGAGCAGTATATCTAAAGCCCCCTCTTGCTTCGTTTGCTTCTAATTGCAGACTACCAAAGTTCTTCACTCGACCTGCTTCTTCTGCTGATATGCCGTTCTCAGTGTCATAACTGAAAATTCGTAATGAATGAAAATGTGAAATGACAATCAATATTTGAGATATGTTACATTTTCTTTAGCAAACCACAAGTTAGATGACGTAGATTATTAGTATTATAATTGTTAATAGGGGGTTGTCCTCAAAGATATGCGCTTTCTGCACGGAATACAACCAAATGAAGAAAAGGGTTATTATTTTTTATGTAAGATAATGAAAAAAAAATGTAAGGGGTTCAGAAAATGTATTGACCATATTATAGGGTCTGATTATAAATCCTTTTTGTATGTGCTTACAAACAACACGCAATCAAACCTCAGCCACTGTGTTCACCAGATTTGGCTCCCTGCGACCTTTTTCTGTTCTCATTTTCTACAGCGTATAAGTTTCGTTGTTGTTTTTCCCACCTATTTTATGATAGTAGAGTCAATGTTGAGTTGTTCTCTGCAGCTTCGATTTTTTTTCTGCAGCCCTTTTGTTGTTCGGTTTGGATGTTGTGAGTGTGGACGTGTGTGACTGGTCGAGAGTTAGTTGCGTCTCGTGTCTGTTCGTTCTTTGGTTTTATTTATGTTATATCTTCATTTAAAAAACTGGGTGTTTTCATAAGGTTTTGTATAATGTCGTTTATAGCATTTTCTAGTGGTTCATGAATGGTTGTTAGTTATTTGTACCAGCCACTGTAGATGCTGTCAATTCCTGGTGCCTTCCAAATGGGTATTCTCTTGATCAAACTTTGTATTTCTTTTAATCTTTTTGTTATACGAAGTGTTTTGTTTAGGTGTTCCGAAACTTGTTATTCTGTTTTTATCCATGATACTGTATGGTTTTGTGTTATAGGTTTGTTCCAGATGTTTTACCAGAATGTTGTTATTTGTTTTCCACCGGATGGAATCATCGTTATTTTGTTTTCCAATATCATGCTATTGTAATATGTTCTCGCTGAAGTTTAATAGGTTACGAGTATTTTGTTGTTTCAGTTCATTTGATTCGTCGTATTTCCTCAATCTAGTACTCTATACTGCTAATTTTTATTTTGGAGTGTCAAAAACTACTCCTGTTCTCATTATTATCATCATTACCACAATGTTATGTATTTAGTTTGAAATAGTGGACAATGAAATTTTGAGGCTTTACCCAGTATTTGTTTGAAGGTGGTTGACTCTGTCCTTTTGTAGTACTGTTCCTTATATGAGCAGATGAGTTATATTTTTCAGAAGCTTATATAGAGAAGTGTTATTGTATTTCTCACCTCCATCTGTAGGATCCATCTGAATTCGGGCCTTCTTGTGTTTGACTGAGAATTCGAATTGAAGCTCCTGGAGAACTGTATGGCCTATACTGAGCGGCCGTTAGTCCAATAATCATCAAATTACAAATCTGTAAGATAAAAATGCAGATATTACTCTCTTACAAATTGATAGTTGTTTTCGAAATATATGAATTATCTGAGACCAGAACTGCGAGTGAACTTCAATTCAAGTTCCCACAATAGGCTTGGGATCAACACTATTATTCATTCGAATAACACGTGTTTCATCAACCAATAGCTCATACTGACTAAATTCCACGTGTTTTATATGATATTGTATAATTAAATAAAGAATAGGGTATGATCATATATTTATTGTTTCAAGGCGAATGTACCTTTTAGCTATTTCCGAACATTTTCAGTCATATGACCTTCATCAGGGGAATTCTGAAAAGTGAAGAGCATTAATTGTGAAACTAAAAATAAAAAATAAAAATTGAAAGAAGTTTCACTGATAAAAATACGACATAGAAAGTTATAGATAGTATTATAAAGATCACTCACTTGTCAGAATTTCTCACAAAAAGTATCGCTCCAAACAGAATGATTTTGTGAACATTGTTGTAGAAATGTTATATATCATATACAGGATGTAACTGAATAAGTGTAAAACATTTAAGGAGGTGATTCCTCATCGAAAAAAAGATTGGATCTGTCATATGAAGAAACTTCATTGAAGCATCCCTTGTTAAGATACAGCCCCTTGAAGGGGGTACATAAAATTTGTATAACAATTTTTTTCACAAGCACTGAAAAAGTTGAAATTAACCTGACGTTTTGTACTACCAAAATTACACTTAGCCAGTAATTTATTTGGTTTACCCCATGGTTGTAAGGGATGGAAAACGCACCCCCTAAAATGTATTTCCAATGTAACTTTTTGTCTTATTATTTGTTAACCATTTGAAAATTTATTTCCAATAGCTTGTCTCATTCTAAACAAAAAATCTCTCTTGGGTTTTTGCCCAAAATAAACCAGTTCGCAGCAAAAAATTATTTTACAACAACCTGAAGGGCTAATCACCATATAAACGAATCGGCGGCTTTGTCGAGTGTGAATAAGTGTGAGCCACAATAAACCCTTGCAGGAAGCGGTGGAGGGTGCAATACAACCACTCACTTATGACCAAACCTAACCTACCCATAGGATATTTACATCTTTTGGTGAAGCGACCAGTAACATCGTTCGTTATAAAAAGACTTGAACGTGGCTAACAGAACAAATAATAATTCAAAGTAATTCATTAAGAACAATAAAAACAAAACTTCAGTGTCAGAAAGTTCAGAACTATATTGACACGTGGTTCTTGCTCAAAACTTTATATTGGTCAAACGGATGGAACCTATTTCCCAAGAACAAAAGAACATAGAAGTAATTTCTTGAATGCAAAGACCAATTCCACATTTGCAAACCATTTTATGGCAGTGGAGTATGAGCTCAACCACTCCTATGACGTGTTGCATTTAAAAGATTTTAAAATCAGTATTTCAGAAAGCTGGGAAACTATCAAACTTGGGAATTGAAAAAAATCACCGAATGACTATTTGAAAATTGGTGATTAGTTCATTACCTGTCCATTTGCTGAGTTGCTGATATTTCTTAGTTTATACTTCAACTCTGGTACAATGATTGGTTATTCAGTAGGCGTTCATATAATTGAAATTGGCATTTGAAGCACCAATTCAGTCAGCATAAATACGCCTGAGGAAGCTAATGTGATTTATAACACGTGTAACACGTTACTTGAATACGTTAAGGATTTTCATCAAGTTTTGGCAAATTCCATTACATATCAGGAGTATTCAGTAGTAACAGTAGTAACTAAGACGACAGCAACTCGAAGGTTGAGGAATTCAACCAAATCTTACTGAGCTATTCAGTATGAAGATGATTTTCCTACTCAGAATTGGTTAGTCCCCCAATAAAACTAAGTTACTCTTCCAATTCCACAACTAGCTTCTCATGATTATCTAAATCTCTCTGAGTAAGTGTCAAATTATAATAAAAAAATGATTTCGTGTTTCGAAAGTATTTTTCTTTCGTGTAATTCGAAGTTTATATGAGAGTAGTTGTTTCAGAAGGGTTTTTTCTTCCAGTTTGTGTCTGGGAGTACCTTCTTTGCATGATCTATATATCTTTGTAGAGTTAATTTCTTGAAATTAATTGTCTTTTTCCATTCTTTGGAAGATTCCTTCATTTTGTTGTATGGAAATGGAGAAATGGAAAGCCTTTCTTTCCCACAAACATTTTCCTTTTCAGTTTGTAGTCCAAACTTTCGAAAAAGAAATAAATCAGATGAGGATGATATATAGTGTATGAAATCTTCTTTAATGATCTTTTCTTAAATTTCAGATATCTTCAATATTTTCCAATATATGTGCAAAAAACCAAACCCACCTTTTTTTATCTAAACTGTTTATGACTTTATGTTTATGCAATTCTTTCAAGCCCCTCTTGAAATTTTTCGAAAAGATGCTAGAGGTCATTTCGAATCAAATGAGCTCTGAATCATAATTTTCGGTGCCCTTGGACAGAAGTTCCAAAAAAAGGACCTTGTGACCCAGACTATTATTGTCTCTCCAGTACCAATATGGATAACATTATGAGATGAAGCACTCAAGTCATCTATGAAATTAGGTACGACGTCATGTCACGAATGAGTTGAAGATAACTGAGACTCAAACATATATCGATGATGCTATCTCGGCTAGCCAAGTTCTCGTTGAGAGACAGCAATTTTGTTCTGGTGAGGGAAAAGTGTTTCCAATATAATCCAAAATATTGATAGAACTCCTGAAGCCACCAGTTATGAACATATACTTGCAAAATATTTGTGGAAATATATTTTCATTTGATGTTGAGGAACTCACCACCGTTTTCATATTGGATTATCTGCACTGGTCACTGATGCACTAATTGAAATTGGTTCAATGAGTCTGGTTTATATATCAAGGCGTTCTCAGGAACTGCAACAATCATCTTTCCGTAACGGTAATATGAATTTTTCGACGATATTTTTCTAGATCTATTCCACCTCGTTCTGAAAAGGTCAAACCACGCAAGGGAAAGGTGCGTCTTCATATTTTACATAATTTAAACATTTTATGGTAATGAGTCCATCTTGTCTTCAATTATAATGTTAATTTGGTTGGGTTGATAAGAATGTGCAATACATGTCGATGCAATAATTGACATTTCAATGTTTCTAATTCGTCTGTAAGTGCTAGTAACGCCATTTGCATATGATGTTACGTGTGTAAGCCACTGTATTTTTATATTCGAAACGATTCTGCTGCTGAACTTTTGTTGCAGCCAGGAAGTTACTGGTTTTTGAAAAGTTCAGGTTGAAATAGAAAGTGGAATTATAGTAGGGAACCATGATTCATATCACCACAAGCATTATATGTAGTAAAAAACTTATCCGTTATTTTCAAATACTTGAATTCTTCAGTTGGCGACAGAAAAAGCAAACATTTTAGGAAATTAGTGGTTCAATTAATTTTGCATCTCAATGAAAATACATCGAAAACAAACAATTTTCTCAAACAAACAAACAAACAACAAGGAGAGTAATGTAATTTGTTTGTCATTTTGAAAAAAATGTATAAGAATAAATTTCGTGTAATAATAATTATTATTTTGTTTTTGGTGTTAAATATACTGTTGAAGGCAGGGCTTGGCTTACTGAACATTATTTGGACGAGGTGAAACAAGCACCTAGGATGATGCACGCATTGGACGCTCCAAGGAGGATTCTACCGATAAAAACATCAAAAAAACTAAAAATATCATTTTGAATAACCGCAAAATGAAGTTGATAGAGATAGCTGAACCTCTGAAGATATCAAAAGAATATGTTGGACACATCGTGCGTTAATATCTGGGTACGCGAAAGCTCAGTTTGAAGAAATTCAAGAAAAGAGAATATTTGCAGAGATTTTCTCGATACGACTATGCCATGACGATAGATAGGAAAAAATGATCCTATGAAATGGCCATCGCGTTCACCCGACCTGAACCTCGTGCACTCTTCATTGTGGAGCCTCATTAAAGACAGTGTTATAGGGTCAACTTTTGACAATATTGACGAATTGAAAGAAACAATAAGGATGGTTATTACTCCACATATGCCAAAAAACTGACATTGCAGTTGTATTGCCAATTGCATATGCAGGAAATTTTCTGTGAAGATTGCTGCACTGACGCCTGTCGGATATAATCCAACGCTCTTCGTGATATTAGCCAGGGGAGTAGTTGTTTTCTGATAGGCGGTAGTCCATTAAACCTATTGTGTAGCTATATAGAGACTGGCTTGAACGTTTTGAAGTTCATTTGCTTAAGATTTATTCCAGAAACATTCCAGACTATTCCTGAATATTTATAAATTTAACAGGATATTCTGAAATGTTGAATAATGTTGAAGATTAATCTTCAAAAAAATGCAGGCATAACTAACAGTATATTCGTTGAAATAAATAGTCATAGAGACGTCAACGCTAGATTTCTATCAACTCCACTATCATTCTAATCAAGTTTTATAGCAACAGTTCACATAAAAGTGTAATGTAAAGTTGTTGCTGACGAAACAATTTTCATCATTTGCTGAATTATTACGAGTGTAAAGCCCTTTTAATCCACTGGCGGATGACCGCCACCTTCACCAAAATCATTGTTGATTGATTGAAATGTTCAGAAAATTTTGAATTTCCACATCAAAAGCTAATTCTATGACGTATTTGAAAGAGGCCCGATCATGAACTCATGAATAATTTGTATCAGAATAACCAATATAAATGTAAGAAACCTATTAGTATTTTACTTCTCCTTCGTTCATAGACAGGAAGAAACTTTTAAAGAAATTGAGGAAAAAATTAACATTGATGTAAACATCATGCACACAATTTTCTTCTGAATTAAAAAGGAAAGAAGTCTATCTGAATCATTTATTTACTAAATAAATACATTCAGTTAGGTATACGTAAAGTGTAGTAGAGAAAAAGTGATTTTTATATAACTCAATATTCAAATTGGAAAGTAGTTGATTCGGATGATTTTTTTATTCATTTCTGAAAAAAGGTTCCGCCGTTGTGAATAGATCTTAGCGATAGAAACATATAAATAAACAAATACACCTGGCAGATTCTTCGTTGAAACTTGTTTATGGACACAAACACATACTCACAAAGCAGACGAAAACAACTCTCTGTGATGCACTGGTTTCATCGCGCTTCAACTACTCGGATACTTTATATGGGCCATGTTTAACCAAACAGTATGCTCAGAAAATACAGAAAGTACAAAACTCGTGTCTACGGGTTATTCATGGAATTAGGAAATATCCCATAAGTTACGGGATACGGGGTGGATCACAATGGAAAATAGACGGATATTGAATGCTGCTAATTTATAAAACAGAATTATACAAACCAAAACGCCGCCTTATCTGTACAGAAAAATCACATTTCGTAATGATGTTCACAATCTGAACATCAGATTTAAGGGTACTCTTACCCCACCTAGTTTAAAAACTGAATTTTTCAAGCGATCTTTCAGCTAAAATATTTGCCAAGTGATCAACCTGTTACCAAAAGAAATAAGAAATTTCTATTCTATGTCACCCATATTTGGAATAACGCAATCGAGAAACATGGATAGTCAAGGGTTATTGAGCCTGATATTTCTGAGGCCTTTGACCGTGTATGGCATGAGTGTTTGCTGGCCAAACTTCGATGCTATGGTTTGTCGGATCATTTTTGTATATGGATCTCCAGTTTCCTGAAAGAACGTTTCCTGCAAGTGGAAGTGGATGAATTGATTAATTTTATCATCAACGCTGATGCTCCCCAGGGACTCATTGGAAAAAACTAAGCAGAAGGAGGTTGCATATCTTAATCAGGATCTAGAAGTGATTTCGAATTAGGGTGAAAGTAACCAGTTCCATTTCAATGCCACAAAAACGCAGGCATCGGTTTTTTTCACGAAGCTAAATGTCTCCGAGCCGGATATGATAATGTCAGGACAGACAATTCCGCTTTCTGCTTCTATAAGTTTCTTGGGGCTCAAATGGACACCAATTTGTCTTGACACAATCATGTCGCTGGAATTGCAAAGGCTGCTTCTCAAACCAGGAAACTGTACACACCTCAGCAACTGCTGATGCTTCACAAAGCTCAGATCAGACCTAGTTTGGAGTATTGTAGAATAGAAATTTAGAATAGAAATTACTGAACAACAAACAGAATGGTTTCCACTTACATGATGTACAGTTTTTTTTTAAAGTTCCTTACATATGTTATTTATTGAGTACCATTGATACAATTGAAATCGATATAAAATATAACGATATAATATAAAACAACATCATCTGAAGGTCTTGATCCAACAATGTTCTCTCTCTTATAAAACAAAATGTAGGGTGTCTCCAGAGGCTCCAATAAATTCAATGCATCGCCAGAACACTTCGTGACACGACTATTCCATGTTTCTGATATACATATCACATTCCAGTTATCAGAAATTATGCTATGGGAAAATTCATTATGCTTCGTGCGGAAGCCTCTCACTTTCTGGTAGTGAACTGATATATTTTCAGTTTCAGTTCCCGGTATTGGTCGCATGTATGAAGCTCCGCCCCTCAACATACCCTGAAGCTGCTGGATTTCATCCAGAAAAAAGCTATTCGCCTTATTGCAACCTTGATATTCTGGAATAACGGAGAAATGTTGGAGAATTGTTTCCCTTTATAGATACTTCTACGGGAGGTTTTCAAGTGACTTGACATATTTGTTTACACCAGGTTCGGTACATATCAGAACTATGCGACGGACTGTGACTGATCATCGTTTTGAGGTTCAACTCACTACACCTTGAACTCCACTATTCGAAAACTCTTTCATTTGGAGAACTGTGGAAATGTGGAATTAACTTCCTGAGAACGAATGAATTTATCCTCCAGCTATTCAAATCCAATGTGAATCGCTACTTTCACACAGCCACCGCTCTTAGAGTGCTCTAAGGATTTTCCTGTAGTGTTTGTGTTTTGCCCTTGGAAAAAAGTATTCATAATGAAGAAATGTGGAAACTACCGTTCTCTTGAGAAAAAACTATCTCTCGATTTTTTATATTTTGTCATTATATTATTTCGATGGAATCCACTATTCTTTCGAACTCCACTGAAATAACTCTCATTAAATACACTTCTGAGAATTATACACAATTCAAAATAGTATATTACATAAAAGATCACATTTATAAATTATCAAACAACACAGCATTTGGAGACATGAATCACAATCAAGGTCGGCGGTAAGCAGGTCTTTCTTGATCCTCTTCAGGATGGGCGGCGTTGTATTCCAAGGATCTTAAAATAGCTGCTGGAATTGGTGGTGGAGTTGGGAGATGTGCTCCTTGGGGTTGGAACCCGTTTTCATCAGCAAGGTAGGTTACCTGAATAGGAGTACCGTCAAGAGCGGTAAACTTGAATTCGCCTTGAGCTTCAAGAATATCAGCTGCTTTCGGGCGACCCTGCTCCCTAGCTGCAATACCATTTTCGGCCTCGTAACTGAAATGCCATATATATCAGTTTTATATATTTTCAGAAACATTTTCAAACATTTTCAGAAACATTTTTTGTGAAACAGTTCGGTGACATGAATATTTGAAAAAAAATGATAGAACTGACCTAAACTTGATGAAAATCCATTAAAACGTATTTTGAAAAACACTTCGATGTGAGACACGTGTTTCGCCATACGAAAGCATCTTTATATCACAGCATCTTTATATCGGACAAACCGCAAAAACTTTTTCCAAAAGAATAAAAGATCATAGATGATTTTTTGAATGGGAAGAACAATTCAACATTTGCGAATCATCTCTTGACAGAGGGGCATGAGTTCAATTACGATTATCACGTATTGCATTTGGAAAAGGTAGATACATAACTCAAACTTTTTGAAATTAATCTAATGGAGGCAACTTTGAATTTTCAAGCCCGTCACAAACACAGAAAATTTCCTGCATATGCGATTAGGCATACAACTGAAAGAGTCGATCTTCAATTTTGGAACGGGCACACTTGCAGACCGGTTTCGGGCTCATTACCCACTCATTAGTGCAAGTTTTTCTTCCTTATTCAGAGGAATCGGGCAAATTACGGATATGCAGTTGGTTAGTACCTCGCCACTAGATGGAGTGACATTTTTGATGCTCGCTCCAACTTAATACGAGGAATGAAATACTCTGAAAAAATTTCAATTTTCAATTATGGAATATCATTGACTTTAGGTCGATGATGGTCACTATCTTGCACTGATGAGTGGCTAAGGAGCCCGAAACGGGTCTGCAAGTGTGCTTGTTCCAAAATTGAACTCGACTCTTTCAGTTGTATTGCCAATTGCATATGCAGGAAATTTTCTGTGAAGATTCCTGCACTGACGCCTGTCGGATATAATCCAACGATGTTCGTGGTATTAGCCAGTGGAGTAGTTGTTTTTTGATAGGCGTCAGTCCGTTCAACTTACTGTGTAGATAAATTCGAGATGGCTTGAACACTTAAAGTTCATTTCTTGAGATTTGTTTGCTGCCCGTCTTCAAGCATAGTCCACTGACTAATAAGAAACATTTTTGAAATGTTTAGAAATCAATAGATGTGAAAATTCGGGATTACTGCTCAATGATTAAATAGTCGAATTATTCCTTTTTATTGAATTTAGTTTGCAACTGGGAAATTGGAAATCAGGACAGATTTTGAAAGTAGGTGAAAAATAGCTCAGATAAAATTTGTTAAAATCCCTCTCAATTTTAACAAGATTCCTATGACTACCCGATGTGAGGTAAAGCTGAGTTTTCTCCGCTGAAAAAAGTAAAATTTCATACGTTTGGTTAACATTGTAATTAAATGAGAATTAAAAATACTCTGTTAGGATTCAGCAGTAAGTCAAAGCTGATATTATAAGTTTTATTACCTCATTACCGTCTGATAAATTTGACCATTTCCACTCTTCCACTTTTGAGAACAAAAGCGTACGTTCCTCCCCAGAATATGATAGATTCGTCCTTCAATAAATATTATTGAATAGTATTAACTGACTTTTTTGCACTACACATCCTTGTGAAAGGTCCAATTTTCAATCGATTGCTTTCTTTTTATCTTCGGAAGATCCTCAGATTTTTTTCGTAGGTCCTTACTATTTTTCGTATGAAGATAAGAAAGCAGAAAGCCAAAACCTTACATTTTCAATAATGATTATATGCCAATGGCATCAAGAACTTTTGTGTGAAAAAAATTACTTCAAATGAATGAAAAATATTGACATTACAACCTACCTCCATGCATATGACCCATCCGGATTTGGCCCGTCTTGAGTTTGACTGATTATACGGATAACCTGTCCTGGACTAGGAACTACCCCTGGTCTGTATTGTCCTATAGCGCATCCAATAACGGTTAAAAAGACCACCTGAAATCAGTTCAAATTGAAATGGTATATTTTCAGGAGAGAATTATATGAAAAACACTTTTCTATATTCCGTTTGTAATCCAAACATCAGTAATGGAATCAAATCAGATATAATTTACAGGATTTCTGCACAATATAATTATTGAAAGAAGTAAACTTTCACTAACAGGGAACAATGTCATCCTCACTACTAGACATCGGATGTTTAGCCGTAAGACACTTGCCTTATCGGCTCTTCAATAGCAACTACGGATAACATTATAAGAAGAAACATTCAATTCGTTCATAATTGCGACTTATTGCCACGGAATGGGTCGAATTCACCCATCTCATCGATGACTGTACCAAAATATCATTCATTCGGTTATTTGAATAAATCCCAGCCATAGGATTCTTGTTTAAATTGAAAGATTCCCACATTTTTTGTATCAACATGGAGAAGTTGAAGACTAAAAACTTCCTTTTCCAAAAATTAATCTCTCCCAAAGATTTTACCTTTCAATTCATTAATAACAAAAAAATCACACTCCCCACCATCCAAAATGTATTACAATGACTCTCGGCGAAAAAAGCAATGATATTGTAAATCTTTCTGCACACTATTCCTCATCTGTCTATAGTGATGAAACAGTTGATCAAATTCCAGAATATAAATTCTGTGAGATGTAGTTATAGTGTTGATGGTGAAGAAATTATTGGACTGGTCGTGTCATTACCTCTGCAGGTTCCGATGGAATCCCGCTATTCTCAATTGAAACATGCATTTCTATCCTGGCTCAAATGATATTCAGCATTTCTTTGAGATCTTCCATCTTTCCAGATTATTGGAAAAATAGTTTTCCGAAACCTATTTATAAAAGTGGATCACATAATGACATTAAAAATTATCAATCTGTAATCCGCTAGGACTATACACATCCATCTTCCAGGCGAAGGTGACTTCAAAACTGGTCTGGGAATGTTATAAAGAACAGAAAAGAACTTGTAAACAGGGACAAATTAACTTTGTACTGGGTGCCAGGACATTCAGGAATCACAGGTAATGATAAAGCTGATGAATGCGCTAGACACGGATCATCAACTTCATATGTAGGTCCTGAACCAGCTCTGGGGGTACCAAAATCATTGATACGAAACCAGATTAGGACATGGATCAATAAGAAGCACACAGAGTACTGGACAAAAGTACCTGACAACAAACACAGTAGAACCTTATTAGGGAATCGTCCGAGAAAGGAACCGAAGTACTACTTCAATATAGTAGGGACCGGCTCAGAATAATTACAGGGCTACTAACCGGTCATTGTCCGCTTAGAGGACACCTGAATAAAATGAGGCTGTACAACGGAGACCTCAGGTGCAGATTATGCATCGAAGGGAGAGAAACAGCTCTACATATTTTATGCGAATGTGAGGCTCTGAATCACAGGAGGCAGGCAATATATGGACGTACAAAATTACGTCCAGAAGAATATTACGAACATCCAACAGAGAACCTGTACAAACTAGTACAGGGGTCGAGACTGATGGAATGGGTGGCATGGGAAGATGGGAGAATAAACGCAATAAGCCCAAGAGGCTGCAGTGTTTTCTGGAGACTTGGACTAAATGGACAAGTCAGACAGCTCCCAAAGGACCAAAAAAAAAATAAATCTGAATTACCCAAATCGTTAGATAGTGTAATAACAAAAAAGCTGTCATGAGATTCTAGACATACAATAATAAATCAGCAACATTGATTCAGTCGTGGTAGATCTACCAGTACAAATCTGCCCATTTATCAACACTTCATAATAAATGCTTTCAAAAATAGACACTAGGTTGATTTTCTTCACACAGATTTGTCAAAGGCATTCGACCGTGTAAATCACATGAACTAAACATAAAAATGCCTAAAATAAACGCTGTAGGTATTCAGGAAAACATTTTGAAATGGATTGAAAATTATCTTGTCTACAGAGTCCAATATGTGAAATATGGTAACTCAGTATCTTCCTCAATCACATTTCCATCTGGTGTACCGGAGGGATCTCATTTAGGACCATTATTTTTCAACCTATTTGTAAACAATTCGAAAGATGTTATTCCCTATAGTTTCTGTTTGTTGATGATCTGAAGATGTTTAAAGTTATTCATGACTCATCTGATCCTCAATCATTACAGTGCGATTTATCTAACGCTGATGTAATATAAACTCATTGCAACTGAATATAGGCAGATGTTATAAATTGACTTTTTTCCGAAACAAAAAAAACATAATTTATCTATATAAATTCAAGCAATCGGAACTGGAATCAACAAATACAATCAAAGATTTAGGAATCACTCCCTACCTAAAAATGTCATTCGTACCCTATATTGCCATTTTTTGCTTCCAGAGCACTAAAAATGTTAGGTTTTACTCTTAGATCAGCAGAGAAATTATCTCTCTCTTCCTTAAAAATCATGTATTGCTCAATTGTTAGATCAATAATCGGATACAACTCCACAATTTGGTGCCTTTCATATAATGTGGATATTGATATGCTTGAAAATGTTTAAACCAAGGGATATCATATTGATGAATCCCTACTTCCCTACTATTATTATAAATGCGAATGTGAGTCTGTTTGTTACGGTTTCACGCGAAAACTACTCAACCAATCATGAAATTTTGTACACATATTTTTGGAGGTATCAGAAGTAACAATAATCCAATTGACTATAGTTTCAGCTGTTTGGAATGTTTCTATATTTATCGTTATTTTCTTCTGTCATTTTTATTTTTAGGTTAGGTGTCATTTTTGTGGTTAGATGCCACTTAATTACTTTAACTTTGTTGTTGCAATTCAATAAAGCATATTTTAAATTTTCGAAACTTCATCATTTATAATAATTCTCAAAAATTGATAATTCCAGCCAAGCATTAAAATATAGTTATCGCATTGATTCATTTCTATGGTACTGACACTTATTTAACGGCATAAATGCGAGCGGAGCCGCGGGAAAAAGCTAGTATAACTATTAAAATATACTAGACCTTCTTAACTTGAATACTCTAGCTCATGGAAGATTAGAATCAGATCTTTCTTTAATTTACAAAATAATAATCAACGGTAGCATTAACTTCCCGGAACTTGTCGAACTCATAACTTTAAATGTCAATCTAAAGAGAACAAGAAATACAGAAATCTACCAAGTGCCCTTTTATCATACTAACTATGGCCAGAATGAGTCTATAGGTAGAATTTTGAGCTGATAGTTCTAGCTGCTGGTTGTAGTACATACGTGTGAATTTGTAAATTAGTTTTTGAAAATTTGCAATGCCGTAACTGAATAAATAACTGAAAATAATTAGGTGATCAATTGAACAAGTCTGTACATGATATGAGGCACTACCCCCGATATGCCTGTCACTAACTCACTCACCAGTGATATCATGATTAGGCCGCTGTGATCACTTGTACACTAAACACAAATCGTTGCATTCAGGAATCTAATTTATATATATATACTGGACCGCCACTCGAGATCATGTAATCATCACAGTTCTCCCCTCAAATCTTTCGCACATTTTTTTTTATGCATTTATTTAAGTTTAATGCATCTGCTGGTAAAAGGTCACGAGGATTGTGAAGATGATGTACCGTAATAAATTGAAAGGTGTGGTGAGGATTAGAATGCTTTACAATACATTAATTTTACAGGGTGTTAAAATCGTGGTGTTATGACTCACTGCATTCCTAGAACAGCGGATATTGACTTCATAGGCACAGTTGGCAATCACACCTTTGAGATGTCAACATATGCGTTTGAAATATTGTTCAATGGAAACGGCCTCAGACACTATGCGTGGAATGAAAAACTGAAATGTATTGAATGATTGTGAGTGTTGGCAGGAAAATACAAATATTTCATTTATTAGAACTATTTGAACACTTAAATTCAGATTATATGAAAGAATATCGAGCATTATTTAGAAAAGTTTGACCAAATTGAACTTGAACATGGAATACATTTTTTTCTGTGTGTCGATAGAGAAAAACTGGCATAATAAATGTAACTGATGTTCGAGCTTGTTCATTAAATGAATCCGGGAAATCACTTATCGCGCCCATAATATATCTCAAATCATCTAGAGGAACAATTCGTTCAGGCCAGTCTCAACACCCTACACAGTAGGTTAATGGACTGACACCTATCAGAAAACAACTACTCCCCTGGCTAATACCACGAAGGGCGTTGGATTATATCCGACAGGTGTCAGTGCAGGATTCTTCACTGAAGTTATTCCTGCATATGCTGTTGGCGATACAACTGCCGCAATAGATTTTCAATTATTGG